GAGTTTTTGACGTGCGCCCGCTCGGCGGGCATGGAGCGTCAGGTGCGGTGGCTCGGGGCAGAGCCGAGAGTGGCCGGCCGTCACGCCAGCGCCGCATGCTGCAGCGAGACGGCTCTCGCAGGGGGCGGCGCGTCCCCCCGCTTACACAGCGTTGCCAGCAGGGAGGCCGGGAGGCCCAGCGGGAGCAGGGGCAGGGCCAGTGGCGGGGACCCCGTCGCCGGGGTCGGGGGGGCCGGCGTCCCCGTCGCGCTGTGCGAGAAGGACTCGGGGCGAGGCTGCGGCGCAGGCTCCGTCTCGCCCCCAAGCCTTGCCGCGCTGCTGCCGGCCGGCTGGCTCAGGTCCTGCTGGCTGGCGGAGGCGCCCAGCCCTTTGCTGCTGCCGCTGCGCACCGCCTTGTACCGCAGGCCTCGTCGGGGCTGCGCAGGGGATGGGGCGGGGTGGATGCAAAGGGGTGGGCGGGTGGAGCGCAGGGCGGGGCAATCGGCCCTGGCCCGTTTGGAGGCCCCCCCGCATCCCCTGCCTGGCATACCCCAGAGGTCTGTGGAACCACACTCTCTCTACCTATTACACAGCAGACCCTCTGTTCCCCCGACCTCCCCCCTACACTTTCCACACAACCTCACCACCAGTGGTTTGAGCGTGCCGTTCCGGAGCCAGCGCGTGCCGCAGGCGTTGCACAGGATGGGGTGGCTGGGCGGCCCCTTGCGCCACTGGGGCGAGGCATGCGGCCGTTCGCAGTCGGGGTTGGTGCAGGGCCCCTGGATCGTGCAGCGCTCGGAGCCGGGGCCGGGGGAGGCGCCCGCCACGCCGCCGCGGGAGGGCGAGGGCGAGGCCGCGCCGCGCCGCGCGCGCTTGGCGGGGCTCGGCGACGAGGCGGCGGGCGCCGCCGGCGCGTGGGGGCAACGGGGCGGCATCGGCCGCGCCGCGGCGGCCGCAGCATGCGCGCCGCCCAGCAGCGCTGAGGAGCAGGCGCCGTCGGGGTCCAGCGCCTCGCACACGCGCAGCAGGAGGTGCAGGCCATTCTGGGGGGGGATCTGGGGGGTGTCCAAGGGGCGCCAGGCAGGGACCAGGGTGCTGCTGGCGGGCGGGGGACCCTGGCGGTGGTAGGAAGGGGAATGGGGGCCTAGTGTGGATGGATGCATGCGCGGCGGGGGATGAGGGCCCCCACGGGAGTACAGGGCCTGGGATTGGAGTATGGGCTGGCACAAGCAGTCCACATGGAACAGCTGCTGTCCGCAACACCCCCCGAACCCTCCGCAGACCAAACCCTCGCGCACCTTGAACAGCGCGGGGGGTGCCCGCTTGGCGGGGGTGGTCGTGGGGCTGGTCCGCCTCGACTCGCCAAAAAAACCTCGCGAGGTGAGGTGGGGGGGCAGGGGAGGCAGGCAGGGGCAGTCCACGTGGCCGAGGCGCATGGGTGAGCCATGCACTGACTGGTCCCTGTGGAGGCATTGGAGGAACGGGAGGTGTCGGCAGCATGCGACCATGTCGGGAGGGGGAGAGGTACGGTCATGGGGAGGGTGGGCCCTCATCAGTGCCTCATGTGCACCTGGCTGCCTGGGCTCCATTACGCCAGGACTCACCCTGGCGCAAGGACAGCTGTCCCGCCGCTGACCCAAGAGGCTGTCTGCGTGTCCGCCAACACGGCCTCCTGCATGGCCAAAGATGCCTGAATGATGGAAGAGGGTGCAGGGATGCACTGAGTGTGGGTGGCAGGCCTTCAAACCTGTGCAGAGAGGGGCATGCCGGGCAGGCCACATCCACCAGATCCACGCTGAAAGCCTCAGACTCCCCAAGCACCCCTGCCCCGAGCCCCAGCCGACCTTGTCATGGTGCTGCGCGAAGCTTGCCGGGCTGCTCACAGAGGGGGAGGTGCCTCCCTCCGACTGCGTCGTCGCCAGGCTCGACACATCCCGACTCGGGATCTCTAGGTGGGGGCAGTGCGCCTTCAGAGGCTCGGCGAACACATGCTCCGCAACGTACATGGCGCAGTGTGAGTACCTTGCTGAATGGAGGGGGTGGAAGGATGAATTGGAGAGCGCGGAGGGTTTCAGCTTTGTGATCCGCGAAACCTCGGGGCCGCGAGAAAGTGCAAAATTGGTCGGGGACACCCATATTGCCTGAGAAGGGCCAGCATGGGCTGAGCTAGCCGTCATGCATGTCTTAACGACAGACCAGTGAGATCCCATGAAGGCAGCGACCCCCAGCAGTTGCCGGCAGCACGCACCACTGCCGGAGCAGTGGCCGCCTCGGAGGAGCCCAATACCCCGCCCGAAGTGATCGACAGCTCACCTTGGTCGGTACGATGATTTACAGCGCCGCGAGGGTGCAGCGGGCGAGCTCAGAGCTCAGGGGCGGGCCAGCGGCGGTGGTGAGATTGTTGGCGTGCTCCCTCCGCAGTGCAGTGCCAGGGGGTCTCTTTCCCACAGATTTGGGGACTCAGCATATGCTTGATGGGTATTCAGGTCGGGTGCCGAGGTGAAGAGGGGTGGGCAGTGCTAAGAGCCTGCGTAACACTGCCGCCCCGGCACCGTGTGCAACCGTTGCGGGAGGTAGGCGCGCCATGTGCTCCTGGGACAAAGGCCGCCGACTCTTAGATCACTTCGGTGTGCACGTGCGCGTCAAGGCCGTGAGAATTTGGGGCAAGGTCACAACGATTGAGCTTAGTGCAGTAAAAATCATCCCGGAACTCTGTGTGTACAACTCTCACCATTAACCAGGGAAGAGTCTATGGACGGGGCAGCATGCTAGTTGATCAGACAGCAGACCATGCTGTTCCACACCCCGGCCTGCAGCAGCGCTCTCCACAGGCGGCAGGCATGCCAGGTCTGAGAGGAGCACGCTGCCGGCGTTTGCCATGTTGGCCTTCCGGGTCCCCCCAAACTGCCGGATGTTGTTCAGCCTGCAGATGCGGGTGCCAAACTGGATGGCCCGCTTTGGCCGAGCGGCCGCCCGGGGCAGGCCCAGCGCGCACAGCGCGGCGCGGAGCACCCGCTTGTCTCCCTGCCCGCTGGGCAGCCTGAGGTCTGTGACACATGCCAAGGGACTGTCCAGCACGGCTGCCACCACGCCCTCATCCAGGAAAGGGTGGCGGGCCTCCCTGGCAGAGTGTGGTGTTGGGTGGGTAATTGGGTGTCATGAGGCGTGCTGCCTACCAAGAACTGGTGCTGGAACCGTGTCCGCCCCCCCTCCCACCCAGACATGCAGGCCTGTGCCCTGGAAAATACTTCTTAAATCTCCACGTCCCCGCACCGTCCATGGTCGGCCACCAGCCGATCGTCCCTGCCCAGGTTCCGAAGCCAAAGGCGCTGCATGTCCAGCGCCATCTCGGCATTCAGTCCCTCCCAGCCGCCCTCCCGGAACTTTGTGCGATGCCGGCCTGTTGGGAAGTGCGGTGTATCTGGGGGATTTGGGGGTTAAGGTAACTCGAGCATGCCGTGTGGGAGGGAACATCTGATTGTGCAAGCATGCTTCCAGATGGTAATATCAGCTGGCGCCCGAGGGGGACCCAGCACCATGCCTTTCCGAGCCCACTCCAGGAATGGGTGGGACAGGGACACACTGGACCCCGAACCCTGTAGAAAAGGCTGCGCATTCTCAGTCCGGCAATTTCACAAGTGCTTGGGAATGAGATGGACCGAGCATCAATGCACCCCCATTCCCAGTTCTCCTGCCTTTCCAGCCTCACCGTAGCCGCCGCAGAGCTCGTCGGCGCCGTGTCCCATCAGCACGACCCGTGCCGCCGACGTGTACTCCTGGCCGCCCGCCTCCTCGACGGCCACCCCCTCGATGCCCGCCTCGTCCCCCGCCTGCGCCCCTTGCCCCTCCACGAGGCCCCCTCCCTGCGCCTCACCATCCCCAAGACAAGCCCTGCCCGCGCCGCGCGCCGCCAGCCACAGGGCCGCCCCGATGTTCAGGTCCATGACCGTCGCGGCGGGGGAGAGCAGGCGCAGGAGGCGCGGCGCGTGCGCGTCCACGTCGGCCAGGCCGCAGTCGATGCGCACGAGGCGCCAGCGCCGGCGCGGGGCCCAGGCGCGGAGCTCGCGCAGCGCGTCCAGCGCCGACAGGCGATCCGGCGACCGCCCCGCGTCGAAGCAGACGGAGACCAGGTCGATGGGCATGCAGGGCGGCAGCGCCTGGTGCGCCAGCGCCGCCAGCAGCGTGGAGTCCACGCCGCCGCTGAACAGCACCATCAGGGGGGCCTGGGTTGACGGGGCGGCGGTCTTGAGGTGGCCAGGCCGGGCGCACTCGGGCAGCTGGCAGCGCGCGGCGACTGCGGCGCGCAGCGCGCACAGCACGCGCTCGTCCGCCCGCCGCAGGGCCTCGGGCGAGGGCCGGGCTGTGGGGCCCTGCGGGCCTTCCGGGATGAGGTGGCTGGGGCGCAGGGGGGCGACCCAGGGCCAGGGGTGGCGCTGAGGGTGAAACTGGTGAGCGCTGGCGGGGTGCGGTCGCCCCAGCGGTAGGGAGTAGAGGCCGGGGGGAAGCTCGTGTAGGGGCGGGGCCCCCTCGGACCCTGGGTCCGTGTCCAGGGAGCAGAGGATGAAGGGAGCACCGGGCTGTTGCTGAAACGACAGGCTTGTTTTGAATTCAAGGCGCAGCGATGGTTGTTCGCCTGACCCAGCACTCTCCGCCTCATCCATGGCGAGGCTGCAGAGCAGGCTCCTGCGCCCTGCGCAGGGTGGGTTGGGGCTGCATTTCGAATGGGCCTTACATCAGGACAGACATGTGGTTGCGTCGATGCACGCAGAGGAGAATGTGGGTCTGCCAGATGTCGCAGGGCTGTGGGTGTAGCAGGCAATGCCGAGCGGTCCCTCACCTGTGGCATCCCGGCCAAACCACAGGGTGCCGGAGGGAGCGTGCCAGTACACGAGGGCCCAAGGCCCCTGCACCCTCGACAGCACTTCCATGGGGCTGGAGGTCGCTTGTGTCAGGGCGCAAAATAGCGCCTGGGCATCGTTGGCGCCGGGGCAGACCGGCAGGCCGCCAAACACCTCGCCGTTGAAGCAGAGCAGGGATCCCGTCGCTGGGTCAAGGAGTGGGCTCCGGGAGGGGGCGCTGCCCCTCAGCTGGAGCAGGGACCCGTGCATCTCCAGCGTCGCGCCGGAGGGGGTGGCGACCTGCGTGCACGGGCGAGTCAGGCCGAGTCGGCCCGTGCGCAGAGGTGCTGGGCGCCCAGTGAGCCCTTTTGTTTCCAGTGGGTGGTGCTGATTGAAGATCAAACACTCAATCACCCCACCTCATGAACGCTCTGGTGGTCTGGGCCTCGTCTTCGGAGGCACTCCAGCATCTCAGCCCGCACAGTTGGGCTGAGGCCCAGCCCCTCTCCCTGCCCCCCGTCCCGGCCCACAAGACACAGGATGCCGCACATCCTGGTCCGTTCGTGCGGCCGCCGGAACCAGTCAGAACAGTGTTTTAGATGCAAACATGCACAGCCATGGTGCGTGCGCGTCTCGTTCCTGCATCTGCTCTGATATATTGGTGCAGCAGTCGTCGACCTGGCGCGCGCGTGCGTGACGGCGATCTGTCGACCCTTGATCATGCATTCCGATGGATGCTCGATCCCGCCATGGCCTGATGCGCGTCTGTCCGATCACCAGCCATCCAGCTATCCTGGCTCTGCATCGCCCTTCACAAGACGCAGCGCGTACGTGGGTGGAAGTAAGGAGCAGTTTCCCGGAGTCTGGCCGTCGTTGCACCTCCGCCAGCCTCCCACCAGGGCTGCCCCTGGATGCGGTGATGCCTACACGATGACCCTGATCCAGGACCAGCTGCTCGGTGCGGAGCTGCGCGCGGCCTCCGCCACCCTCGCCGGGGGCCTGTCCCAGCCCGCGGACGGAGCCAGCACCGAGGAGTCCCCCTTCGTCCAGGCCTACACCCGGGCCCTGGCCCTGCAGGAGCAGGCCGCAGGCCAGGCCCCGGATCTCCAGAGGGAAAGCCTGCTGGCCGCCTGCACCGCCTACCAGGAGGCCAGCCGGCTGGCGGGGCACACCCACGTGGCCGCGCTGTACAACCATGGCGTCGCGCTCTCCGATCTGTACCGCCTGGGCGACAACGACGACGGCGACGATGGGCGGGCCACGCTGCGGGCCGCCCTGGACCGGTATGGCGCGGCGCTGGCCCTGGACCCCGCTAATCCGCAGGCCCTGAACAACAGCGGCCTGGCGCTGCAGGAGCTGGCGTCGGGCCTGCCGCCCGCCGAGGCGGGGCCCCTGCTGCGCCAGGCGGTGGCGCGGTTCCGCGGGGCGGCCCGCGCCCTCCCGGGCTTCCACCGGGCCCTGTACAACGCCGGGACTGCGCTGTACTCCCTCGCTGCTGCGCTCCGTGCGGCTGAGGGCGTGGACTCTGCCGACCTCCTCCAGCAGGAGGTGGGGGGGATGGCGGCCGGGGTTTGGTTGGATGGTTGTGTTTCTGCTGCAATGTGGTAGCTTGGCGCATCGTGGATGCCAGAGGCTCCGCTGTATTGTCTGTTGTCTTGTGCTTTCCAACTCCCGCCTCTCATGCTGCGGTTGTCCTTTGGCTGCCCTCCATAAAACATACTCCTTCCCCTCCCATCTCTCGTTCCCCCCTCTACGCAGCCGGCCCTGCTCCCCACCGCCCCAGGAGACCCCGCCGCCGACGAGGACTCCGCCACCCTGGACGTTCTGCCAGAGCCGGCGCGGCGCGTGCGCCGTGTGCGCCGCGCCTTTGCCGACGCGGCGCAGTACATCGCGCTGGCCTGTGCGCTGCGCCCCGTCACCGACGCCAGCGCCGTCTACGCGCGCAGCCTGGACACCGTGGCGCCGCTGCTGCCGCTGCCCGCGCTGCGGCGCTCCGGCGCGCGCTGGGCGGCAGGGCCGCCCGGCGGCCGGACCCCGGGGTGGGCGCGGGGGACGCTGGAGCTGGACGCGGCGGGCGTGCGCAGCCTGGGGCCGGGCGCCGCGCTACGCCTGGGCGCAGCCGAGCTGCGCGGCGCGTGCCGTGCACGGGACCCCTCCCTCCCCGCCGAGGGCCACGCGCTCTGGCTGGCGCTGACGGGGCGACCGCGCGGCGCTTTCCTCGTGCTGGACGGCGAGGAGGAGGCCGAGTGCTGGGTGGACGCGCTGGCCACCCTTGCCCACCTGAACGCGCACCAGGGCCTGGACCGCCTGGCACGCATCCTGCGCGCCCGCCCGCCCTCGGCGCTCGGCAACGGACCCTCCTCCGAGGTGTGAGGGGTGTTGATGCGTGGTACCTGCGGCGCCCACCTGGCCCTTTTCTGTGTGCCTCCACATTCTGGGCCCTCCAGACATTGCAGCTTGCCAAGCAGGCTTGCGCGGTATGTACAGACTGTTAAAATGTACAGGGCTCGACAGCGCAGGGCTTGGTACACGGCGTGCAAGCTGCCAGGGGAGAAGAGTTCGTTGTGACGGGGTGGGGGGGGAAATGGCTGTGGGAATTCGGGCGGCTGCGCATGCAGCTGCAAGAGCCCCAGCATGGCAAAGTGAGTCGAGAAAAAGGGGGTGGGAGGGAGAACTTCCCCGCGAAGACATTGCTGGGTGCATCCCAGGCTGGGTCGCCTCGTCCATGGAATCGACATGTCAGTGGCCTCCGAGGACCCTCCCACCAGTGGCGGTCCTGAGAACACGCAGAGACCGACCAACCAGCCTAGGAGAGGTCGAATGAGCCCTGGCCCTCCGCAAGCACGTACATCAGCCGCGCCTCCAGCACGGCCTTGCACGAGTAGGGCGGCAGCTTGATGTAGTTGGCGCAGGTCATGACGGAGGGCAGGTCGGCATCCGCGTCTAGTGCAGCCCCCTGTCCCGGCGAAGAAACCGCACCGGGCGTGCCATACGAGGACGCGGGGCTGGGTGGCGCCGGGCGCGCCCCCGTGCCCTCCTCTCGCCACGACCGCGCGCTCTTGCGCACGACGGTCAGGCGCGGGCGCAGCGCGGCCAGGCCGCCGGGCGGCAGCCGCGGTGCGCCAGTGGTGAAGGAAAGGAAGGCGCGGCGCTGGGCGTGGCCCAGGCCGGCCAGCACCTCCACCAGCCAGCGCACAGGGGCGGAGGCCAGGGTGTACCCGTGGTCGCAGTGGATGGCGGATCGCAGCTCCTCCGCCGTCCACGCCTCGCCCGACCCTGGGAGCGGGACGAAGGAAGGGAGGAGGAGGAGGGGGTGGAGCTGGGTTCTGACTGGGAAGGCACCCTGCTGTCTCGGTACAGAGGTTTGGGACTGCATGCGGCTGGTGGCCGGCCTATGCCTCAGAGCCCCTCCTGGTGCCACAGGGTACTGCCGCCAGACAGAGCCATAAAAATATGACCTCCTTCCCATGTCTGGAGGAGGACCTCTTCTTCCAACAGTCCGGGGAAGGTCGACCCTTTGCTGCTGTTGAATCCGGCCCAAACCACTGCCGCCCACCCCCACAACCCTCCACACCACCCCCCACCATTCATGTCCACAGATCCTCCCCCTGCCCCATTGCTCAACCCACCGCAGAGCAGGAGCTCCAGCTCCTCGGGCTGAAACCGGAGGAGCACGTCCGGCGACAGGACGGCGGCGAACCCAGCCCGGAAAGCGGCTACCTGGCGCGCCACACCGGCGCCCAGCGTCGCGTCCAGCACCGCCGCGATGTAGCGCGGCGCCGAGGCGACGCCCACCAACGCACCCGGCGCGTCATCCACGCCGGCCAGGCGGTATCCGGGGTACCCCGGCAGCCGGTCTGCGGGCAGGTAGAGGTCGGCGAGCGGGACGCCGTCCACCAGGCCGCGCGCGGGGCCCGGGGCGCGGGCCGCGCTTTCCAGCCGGCGCAGGCCATGCGCCAGGCCAGAGTCCACAGTCTCCAGATCCACGAGGTCTGGGGCCAGGCCCTCCGCGGCGGCGCCGTCGACAGCGGCCACCATGCGCCACATCAGCGGCGACAGGGGCAGGTCCAGCAGGCGCCCGTCCTGCAGCGCCTTGGCCGCCGCGGTGCCGGCGAGGCGGAAGCGCGCGCAGCGCGCCTCGGCGTCCGCGGCGCGCGGGGGCAGGGGCGCGGGGAACAGGCCCGCCCGCCGCGCAATGTCGCCCCCGGCCGCACCCTGGCCCCGCTTTCCAGATGCGCCGCCGGGCTCCGCCGCACCACTGTCGTCGCCGCCGCCGTCGCCGCGCCACAGCCCCAGCTCAGGGGCCGTCAGCTCCTTGGCCAGCAGCGCGTAGAACTCCAGCGTCGGCCCCAGGCCTGCCACGGGGGATGAGGGGTGGATGGTGAGCAGGGACGGGGAAGTGGGGTCACTGATGGGGCCAGGGGTTCCTGCCTTGCACATCAGAGGCCGCCCCAGATGTGCCCGCGTTGTCGGAAAAGCGAGGAGCGAGGGCTGCCTCCTCCCCGAATGGGCCATGGGCACGGCAACGACTCCTGTTCCCCCACCCATGCCCCTGCGCCTGCTGGCCCATTTTGGAAAGCCGTCCTACCCCGACGGAGTGCACCTCCACTGCTATGCACA